CAACCATCTTCGTACAAAATAATATACCATATTATACGTAATAATGTTTATATATAATGTAAATTACATAATACATTATACGTATTATGTAATAATATAATATGCATTATAAGAACCGTTTGTCAGCAAAACAAAATAATCCATCGATACAAATATTTAACGCAGGTCTTCTGTTTAAGTCGCTCGAAAACGAATAATCGGATTTCGACATTGCTATACTAATAACGAAGAAAATCGTATAATAATTAATTATAAAAGGTTTACGTCGATCGAATATTGCTCTAGACGGCATCATACCCCTTGTAGTGAACAAATAATACATGTTTTACTCATGTGAAATAATATAAGAAACGTATTGAGTGTATACGTTACTCCTTAACAAATACAAATACACACAAATTGAGAAATCAATAGTATTTCAACCATTTTTGTTATTAATGGTTCGTTTCTGCTGTGACATGTTGTACCTAATATTAGAAAATATCGTGACAATAATTATTATAAAATATTATCATTTTTCTGGGAAACATTATTCTAGAAAAAACTCAAGCGACACTTGTGGTATTATAAAACATGTCGAAATAGGCTGTATAGGCTGTAAAGCATTATTTTTGTGATTAAAAGTTCGTCGTACAACAAACTTATGTGGTTTGCTTCTTACTGAAGAGTTTCACATCTGTCGCTGTATTATTATTGTCACCGGGATATTTGTTATTATCTTTATTATTAACACTATTGTACTCGGGTATTTAATCAAATTCGGTCTCGGGTTTGATTTGAATCGATTAGTTTCACCGTGGTGGCCGTACACCTCGTTTAAAACCCTAATGCGCTCTACTCGCGTTTTCAATCAGCGTCGCGAAACGAAGGTCTCGCCAAATTCATTATCTTGAAGCGTCGAGAAAAGCATAATTCGGCAAAAGGGTATTAGGGATAGGAGATAAGCTAATTAGACGCCTGCGGTTGACCCGAAACCGGTGTAGTGCAAGATTTTCCTTTCCTTAAAGTAAACTAGGCATTAATGTCCTTCAACACGGTTGACCAAGTCGCTATTTTCTCGTTATGCATTGAAAACATTAAATTAAGTAGGATGTAGGTATCGAATTTAACACTCCCGTTGAAACTCATTTCATCGTTTAGAGCTCATAATACTGTTCGACGTTAAGAAATGTTACATTTAGTGGCTGGTTTTTTATGTATTACAAAAAAATAAAATACTGTACATTTAATTAGAACAGTTTGTGATTTTTTAAATGGCAAAAATGGCCGTAGTTATATAGGTATAAAATATATTTTGTCTGTACTTACTTACACATAAAATATTTTAATACCGACCATGAAACTGCAAATAAAAATAAAACTCCAGTATTCATTTTATAATCAAACATTTATAAAAAAAAAAACTATGTAACATAATAATAATATCAAGTTGAAATAGTCGAACTTTTATGTTTAATAAACGGAATTAATAAAAGAAAAAACAAATTATTAAAATTAATGGTATATAAATTGTAATAAATTATGAAAACATAAAGTATATTTTATTTCACTCGTAAAATAATATGGACATTTTATTAAATTGTTTTAAATAATGTAATATTCAATTTATCTTTTGTTGTTCGCTTTCAAGAGGTTGTACTTTTTCGCTGGACAAAAATGATCATAATTTTTTTTTCTATTACAAAAATTAACTACTGTACCACTTTACCACTCCGGAGGCGAACGTAATGTTGTATTATTATGCTGCTTTTCGTGTTTCAAATTACAAATGTGACATGTTTTTCGCTACAGAGGAAACTAGATAGAAATGCTAAACTTGGTTAGGCACAGTATTTCTTCTGTATACGTCGGCAGCGCACCTATTTGATTAAAGCGAAAACTAAGTTAACTCGATTCGTGTATGTTGTATTGTTGCCGTGTACTGTGGTACAACTCGCATGTGTGGCTTTAGGGTTTTTCGTTACACCGCTCGTCTACAAGGCCCGAAGTCTTACAAAGTCTTTTCAAGTCGTACTAAATCCGGCAGTTGAACGGCACGGTAAAACGAAAAACACTTTATTTGTTAGACTGCATGAAATATTACACTGAGCTCAACTTCATTGCGAAATCCGAGTGCGACGATCGAAACACTTGTCACGCGTATGTAGTGCGATTAAACAATTTGTCTGTTAAAACTAAGTAACATCAACACAGTACATAATATATGATTATGCTTTTACATAATATACATTATCTACCTCTATCCCGATAGCGAACAGTCCCAAACGTTAATGTTTATATTCAATTCTATTGCGATCCGATCGACGATTATTCATAATTAAAATGAGGCGTCTAGTTTCAAAACCAGCTAAAAGACATTTTGGGAACGTGTTTTAATTTTTTAAGAGGCCACACTGTATTACATGATATGTAAAACTATAATTGAATATCAAATAAAGATTATAACAAACTCAAACTGTGTTGGAAAATCATGGTCGGTTTTTAAATCGCCCATTTGAAGAAATTATTTGTTGTTTGTGAACATTTTCAAAAATTGCTTTTAGCTGGTTTTAAAGCAAGACACCTCAAATAAGGAGGTACTTACACCAATCGGTACAAATAATATGTTCAAAATTCTTTCTATAAAAACCTTAAGCCACGAATTTATAAACGTAAATTAACAATGCATTCCTAGTTATAATTCATATTGATTGCTTCAAATTACACTTGCCGGTATCCCCCTTTGAGAATTGAACATATTGAAAATATAATACAAAACACTAATACAAAAAAAATGTAAATACAAAATAACTGTTTGAGAGGTTTCTATATATTATATTATTACATAAGAGTCAAGAGAAAAGTACAGCATTTGACTGTAATTAGTACTAAACATATCTAGTATTTTTAAATACTTACAGTTTCAAAAAAAAGACAAGTGCGTTGGAGAGAAATATTTTATTATTGGTCTTCCTACAAAAATAGTTTTAAATGAAGATAAAAGTTAATTTTTGGCACGAAAAAAAATGTGTCCACTTCGTTTATTTCATTGTCTTTTCTTCATTTACAAAACGTTTATTGTCATTACTGAAAATGAAAACAACGCCATTAAGCGTGCTTTAAGCGTATGTAAACTACATAGAAGTGCGCAAGTCATTATTTGTATTTGAGCTTTTTTCTTAAATGTGTGTGTTTTTTGCATAGCTCAGTATTTTTTGAGTCAACATTGTCGACGGCCTGTTTAAAATTAATTCATCGTTTATCCAAAATGCCGTTCTAACGACCTGCGACCCTTTTGTCCGCCACTAGTAATGTATGCGCTAACTATATTAATGCGATCATTACCAGACCATCTGAGATCCTGCGAAATTAATTAAGATATACGCTCAATGTGTGCATAATATACCGCCGGCCGCTTGTTGGTGTTGGGTGGTGATAAGTTAAATAATCTGTTACATCTAAAGACACTGTTTGCACGCGAAGTAAGTAACTTGGGGCACATATGTATTTACGTGTTCAACGCACAAGTTAGATAGATTGGAAGGTCTAAATTAACAGATAAAGCCTGTTATAGGTTGGCGCACAAGCGTTCGTTAAAATCTGGTAATAAGCGAATTTTATGTTAAGGCAACCTATAAAACATGATACGCTTAAATGACATGATTAAAAGAGGAGGAAACATTTTGTAGACGCATCCTTTTAGAATTTAGATAGCGACATTTTGTGACCATGTTTGCCTCGCATTGACCGGATTTACCTAAACGGCGCCCCTAGGCTAATAAAGAACAAACGCCCCTACTTCTTAAAACATAGATGAAATAAGACCTGAGAGCCCCCTCCAAATTTATTTACCAATTTTTATGTCTATGTCAATGTAAAATGGATGAATTTAAAATTATTTTAAAGACAACCTAAAAAAAATAAGTATTGAAATTGTGTAGGGTAAGATACTAGAAGGGCCAAAAAAGAAAGATATTTTGTTGTGATGATAATACGAAATTATATTTAATATATTATTAAATAAAAAAATCCTGTATAATAATTATATAATTAATGAATTATATAAAAAAAAAACTATAAACTAGAGATGGCATGGCAGTTAGTTGGTTTCAGCAAAATAAAAAAAAATTGTTTAAAATTTGTTTATTGTTAAAAAATAATTAATTCCTATTATATGTTGTATATTGTATATAATATATTGTATGTTAATTATGTATGTTATATATTTGTTGCAAATTATTTGTTTAAGCAAAAAAAATAGTCCTTTCCCCAAGGTATGTTCTTTATTTTGAAAAGAAAAGTGGCAACCCTGGTCAAATCCTTGACTGCGTCCGTCACTTATACTAAAACCTAATAATATTTCAATTTTATTAAAAAAAAAAATACCTGCTACGTTTGAATCTTCGCTTTCTGTGACTGATGATAGACGATGGGATTGTTTCACTTAATTGTGATATTTTTTATACATTAGATGGCAGAACATTAAACAAAATGTCAAGCTTTTTCACTTTTCCCATTACATTATTATGTTTATTATCTTTTTCTTTTTTTAATTTTCTCCTTTGTGAACCACTTAATTTACATGCCACATCGTTAAGGCAAAATTTATTATTAAAGAATTTAACATATAACTAGTCAACAGACAACTGAGCAATGAGCTTACCCAAGTGTTGAAAATATTAGAAAACCGCAATAATAGTATCGTGTATAATATTATAATGTACAGTTTTATCGCCCATTTACCAGTGGCGGCTCGTGGTGATTTGACACAGGAGTGCGATAAAAAATTAGAAAACCACAACCCAAAATGATAAATAAGCCACCCTAGCCACAACTGCCGCCGACGCCAAAAGTATTATAGGCTGCCACCCGAATTGTGCCTCGCAATAATAAAATAATAATTTCTAAACAGGAGTATTGTACAATGCAATCTACGAGTACATTAATTAATACTTTGTACAAACGTTGTTTGTTAAATTGACTATTGCCATTAATATTTATTGTTTATTTATTTTTTACAGATTGTTTATGCACAAAATAAGGTGTACCGAACACCAGTTACTAAAAAGTCGTAAGTACCAACAATTATTTTCAATTAATCGACATATTGTATTGTATATTGTTTTTTAAATTAAAATATAAACAAAATCAATAAAAAAAATTTAGGAGAAAAAATAGAGTTAGCCTTATTGCTCTTTAAAACTAATTCAAATTCATAAGTTAATATTTAATTATACAAAAAAAGTTTATAAAATACTATGGCTATCATATATTATTCACTTAACAGCTAATCAAGCATTAATTTTGTATTCAAATAAAAATAAGTACACATGAATGGATATTTTAATTGAGTCCAAAATATTTTGAGTTTTGGTAGTTTTAGACAGAGGCCCGTAACTAGCCAAAATGTTCAAGAAGTGTCCTTGATATTTGACATGTTTTGTTAACCTGTAATACAGCTAAACTCATCTATTATATCAGCTGTCGCCTGTCACTAATACATTTTATAGACTATAGTTCTACTATCTATTTTCTACTTGGCTCTGGTAGACTTTTATTAAACCACCAGATTAACTTTTAAACTTATGACAACAGTGTTTTCAAGTCTTCAAGGTACGTCAATTAGAATATGGCGGCATATATTCCGTGCCACTAATACACATGCTTATATTTACATAATTGAGGCGCCTAGTTTCAAAACCAGCTATACAATTTTTGAAAATTTTCACAAAACAACAAATAATTTCTTTAGATAGAACCAACCAAGATTTTCAAACAAACACAGTTTGAATTAGTTGTAATCTTTATTTGATATTCAATAACAGATTTACATAACATGTAATACATTGTGGTCACTTAATAAACAAACACGTTATCAAAATGTCTTAGGGCTGGTTTTGAAACTAGATGCCTCAATTTAGCTACTTATAGTTCCTTAATACTTAATATAATATATAATAGGTAGGCTGGTTTTCTTAACATTTATTTTCATGACATTAAATATTTCAGCTTACCTGTTTTTTTTCAGTTTTACAGTGTAATTAATGTTTTAAATATCATCATTAAATTTGGTGTTCGAAAATTTGATCTTAAACGTATTCATTTTATAGCTATGTGTATTATCCCAAGTATGTTTTATTAAATTACTTAAAACCCAGTTCAGAAATATTGATTTTTTTACAAAAAATTATGTTATTATAGCTAACAATTTGTATTTTATTTTATAAAAAAAGTACTGAACTTTGTCGTTTTAACAATAATATTCGTTTGAATAGCAATGAGTTTCTTCTTTTTTTTTAATAGGAGTATAATTATTATTGTCTTAATTATAATAATGCTGCTGTGTTGGCAAGAGATAAAAAAAATCTAACTTAAAAACAACAACAACGAATAAAACAATGCTTTAATTTGCTTACATATTTTTGTACCGGGTTATTGTTTTTAGTTTTACATATAGTTGTAAAAAGAATATTAAAATAATAACTTTTTTTTTTCGTTAACGACTGAAGAAACACAATTAGAGAAGTGAACAGATGAAGGGTGAAAAAAAAGGTACAGTCCGTTGAATTTGATAATAATATAAAGACCAAAAAAAAAAGGATCTCGCTGTCCGTAACTCGAGCTCGTTGCGATCGTTCCAAAAATTAAATTTAATAAAACTCAGTTCATTTATGTGTAGTATAATTATATAAATAAAAAATAAATGAAAATTGAATTATGCTTTGTTATACCACAATCGACATTTTTCTATTGATGCGATCTACATTTTATACATCTATCTCGCATGGCACGTGACAAGAAGATGAGAAAAAAAAGATTTTTCTTTATTTTCAAAAATGTATAAATCTAAACACGAAAAGATTCCCCATTGAACTAAAATTGGGATGAGATCACTTTATGTTTAAAAAAATTTGTAGAATTTTGAATGTATACAACAAAAAAAAAAATCTCACGCCAAAAGCAATTAAAATGGGATACACTGTCAATGAAATATTAAAACAAAAATTAAATACAAAAGTAAAAAAAAATAATAAAAAAATTGAAGGAATGGGCTTCGATTCTGATGGATCGCCTTCATTGTTTTTAATGTTAAAAATCAATAAATCGTGGTTTTCGTGCGAGAAGGTAAATATTACCATTTTACAAAATAACAACTCAAGTGAAACTTGTTGATTTATACGGTGTCTTAGTATTATCAGCAAACAAAGACATATTTGAATTCGGCGTTAGTCGTTCATATTTTATACATTTAACAATGTTGCTTTTGCGTTATAAAAATAACATTTTTATAAAATAATTTTAAAAAAAGTGCAGTGGGGTTGAAGCATAGTGATAACGGACCCCAAATAAATATTACTTACTCGAAATTATAGCTAGTAAAAGTTGAAAATTGAAAACTTGTACAGTTTTTTTTGTCTTTCCCAATTTCGAGGATGAAGGATGATAATATCATCTATAGATATTACCGTGTATAGATATTATACTCGAATATACATATTATACAGGTTAACTTCGGTGGGATATTTTAAATTATCGGAGGCCTGGACATTAAAAAACCGAAGGGTCTCAATGTAAATGTCTTTTCTTGAACGACTTCTCTGTCATTATGGTTTTTCTGGTAACCGTTACGGTACGATAAATGTCAACATAACCATATTAAAAATTGAGTTTGATGTTAACTTATAACGTATGATACAACTTTGGAAGACCAATAAAGAGCGAGTAGTCACATCCGTTCGGCGGTTGGTACCTATTTTCTTATATATGTTATTAAATTTAAATACATATTTAATTGTATATAATGACAGGCAAGACTATTTTAATATTTATAGAATTGTTAACAAATAATAAATATATAATAAAAAATAATTTTTTTATGAAAAATTTAGTTTTTAATAATAATTATTGACTTACAATAATTTTAACTTCGCTAAGCGAAGCCAAGCATATTTTCGTCTTGAGATTTTTTTTTGTCCGAACTCAAAATAAAAGTTGTAACTACTGAACATTCGATTCGGTATATTATCAAATGTTTCTAATAATTTTCAATAACTAAGAATATCAAACTACTATGCTAAATTTGTTGAACCTATTATTATTATTACATCAGTATTTCTACATGCGCCGATCCAATAAAAAATTAATATGAGTATCAGTCAATTTTTGAATTATTTTAATATTAGAAATTGATTTCTATTATATTTATAAAATTTCCAGTTTCTAACACTATTGCTCTCATCCTATTTTGTTTTTGTGTGTGCATTCATTAATATACATTTTTAAATTTGAAATTCATAGGTTTTAATAAATCATAAGTTGACAATTATTGCGAAACAATAATAACAATAATTTTACGCTTATGTAAATATGTATGTTAACATATTTTATTATTATCTTTACTAATCAAGTGCAGTGGTATTTTATTACTATTTACAACTAAACAGTGACTGTTTAAACATTTTTACGAACCGTTGTCTAACAGTTTAAGAACTACAAAAATGTGATGTTCATAAAACATTTTCAATACGGCGTTTAATCTGAATACGTTCAAATTCAAAGTTGTTACTTAGTAATAATACAATTTATTTTATTACTTATAGATTTTTTGAATTGCTGGCACGTGACTTTTTTTTATTTTATTGAAACTTAATAATGTACCAATAAAAAAACACTTGCATATAGGTAGAGAATATTATAGTGAGCTTGTATTGTGAATATTCCAAGGTTATAATACATACAATGTATATAATGTATCATAAGTCGACCATTTTCTCGAAACAGAGGAACTATTATACTAGCTATACTAAAGAGTATACTATTTAGGATTTGTGAACATTAGATAATCTGTATTTTTTTTGTATAAATAATATGATCTATGTTCCGATCCTACATATGTTTTGAACCTTCATTAAGTATTTGTACGTATGTCGATCAAACCATAAAATAATGTACTAATTTATCAAATTGTGTATTATTGTTTTAGCGTGTACTTAACAATATAAATTTTTATATTAAAAACTCATAGGTTGTTATAAATTATAATTTGACAAGTTTTTCAAAATGGACACACTACAATATGATTTGTGCATACAGATGTTTTATTTGTTCACATCCAAAGGCTTTATAAATACATATAAAAAATATGAAATTTTGAAAAAACAACTTGTGTGAGCAATTACAGACATTCAAGTCTACACTTGGAATGTACACAGTTATTCACAAAGATGCTACACATTACTAACGTACTTTATCTGTTTACTAATCTTCAGATACTTGAACAAGATGGAATAGTGTATTCTCTTTCCGTACTAGTATTAATACTAACTAGAATCAAGTATATGTATTTTAACGAGGTGCATATATTTGTATGTTTATAATATATAGATAATAATTTATTATACAAACCCGATTTGAGTGTAGACCAGACCAGTAATCGGCAAAACGAATGTTGGTGAGCTGGTCATTACCCGCATATTGTCTTGTGATTAATGTCGATTGTAAACCGAAACTATGTCAATGTTAAATTTTTCTTGGATTGAACGAAACACAAGGTTAAAGCAGGATGTAATTTGGAATTAGCATAAGTCATAAGTTCCTGGTTTTTTTTCTTCAAATTACACAAAGGACAGATGAAAAAAACATTCATGTCGAGCAACATCATCGAGTGACTAACGGTTAAATAACTCAAATGTCTGATGGGCCATACGTTTAAAGCTTCTTACCGTCAACTACAAAATTGTCGACATTAGCGCCGGTAGTGTTCTATATTTATATAGAATCGCGAGCCAACCGTTTTAATGGAGAGGAAGACAGTTGTTGGATAAGACGCGCAAAAGGTAAATTGCATTGAGAAGGGGAGGATCGTATTTGCGTTGGGACTACAGCGGAAAAGAATTCTCCACTCGCCACTTAAAAATAACTGCCAACGTTTCAGTTTTAATGGCGTATAATTATAAAAACTACCTCTAAGAACGAACGCCGTTCACACACAGTTTTAGCACGGCGATTAAAAGAGAAAAAAGTACAGTTCAACATTGTACCCGTACCGCAACTTAAGCAAAATGGAAAAAT